AAAGAGATGAATGCACATATGCTTCCAGGATGGCCTTGGGGACTGCCCCACCCTTGGAGACTTAACCCCTGGGTCATAACTTCGAAATGGTTAAGATCCCCACCCCAAAACTATATATACAATTGTTGGGCATAAAGAGACAAATGCAGTCATGATATTAGAATTGACCCCAGGGTTTGCCCCACCCTTGCAGACTTAACCCCTGGGTCATAACTTTGAAACGGTTGAGATCCCCACCCCAAAACTATATATACAAATGCTGGGCAAAAAGAGACAAATGCAGTCATGATATTAGAATTGATCCTGGGGTCTGGCCACAACCATAGGGACCTAGTTTCTGAGTCACAGATTGGAAACAGTTGAGATCCCCACCCCATAACCATACATAAAATTGCTGGGCGTGAAAAATCGAATACAGATATATATGCTACAAGGATTGGCCTTGGGGTCTGGCATATTCCCATGGATCTCATTTGGAGAATATTCTGCCATGATTGCTTAGATATCCAGGTGAGCGATACAGGTCCTATGGGCCTCTTGTTCTTTGATTCATAAACCTGTCCTAAATCGTATACGTATGTCGGATGTTCAGCGGCCTTTGCACACTCTTAAAGACCGTATCGACAAAACATTAAAACATGTGAAAGGATGCTCTGAATAAGAAATTATGTCATGACTAAACCCAGCTAGTGTAAAGATATAGACATCATAACATTTTCAGAATATCAAGTCCTATTTACGATACATGTCGAAAGGTAGCAAATATATTTTTCTAAATGAACGCTAGATGAAACGATTTAACGAAGGTTGATATATCATCTTGCAATTGGTAGCAGCATTTTTGAAAGCCCCCAACCCCCTACCCCTCCAACCACATCACTGTCTGTATTTTGTTTTCAACCAATTTTATTGAGATAACAAAAGGATTAGACAACAGGCAATGCCTATATAAGTCTTTTCCTGAAACGGTACAACATATATATACTTACAAAATTAACGATAATAAATATAAAAATGTCAGTGGCATAGATGTCTAGGTCACTTTCCAGGTTATGCACAATTATTGCGCCACTGGCAACATACATACTTTTAACCCCCTTAGCCCTAGTATTTCTTAATCCATATGGATTATTTATAGCATTATTAATAAAAGGTACAATAATATTATAAAAATAGTCAGGTGTGAAGCGGTTTATTATTTTATTTTATTGATTTATGTTTATGACGTCTTAAGTTTAAAGTTTCCATATTTACCTCAAGATATAGTTTTCGATGAGATGTCCCACTTCTTTACCCAGTTATAATTTTCATAGCTTCAATTTGAACAGATTTAAGCATATAAGATTCCCCAATGGTACAGTTATTCCAAATAGTATCACCATACTCAAGTACAGGTCTTGTATAAGAATAAAACCAATGTTTCCAATGATTTTCTATCAACTTAATACATGCTTTGTTAAAAATATCATGAATATGCTCTCCCCATGTTCCTTAAGAATTAAAAAATAACCCTAAATGTTTATGACTTATTTCATCAGGTAATAATTTATTATTAAAGAAAAGAGGGGCGGGGGATGCTTTCTATTCCTTCTTGACACTGTTAGTCCTATGGTTCTGTTGGGATTGAATTTAATTTTCCACTTGTTTGCCCATTCGTTAACAGAATCTAGATCTTCATTCAGTGCAATACAAGGAGCGACCATGTCGTCTTCAACAATTACAAAAAGTGAAGTATCATCAGCAACCAGCTTAATATTTGTACTTATCTCATGGGTTATGTCATTTATAAAAAGAAGAAAAAGAAAAGGACCAAGAACTGAACCTTGTGGAACACCTGCAAAGATGGACTGAAAGTTAGAAGTGTACTTTTCAAATAATACCAGTTTTCTTTCTGATAAATAATTTTTGAATCATTTATAAAGATTTCTACAGATTCGACATTTCAAACTCTATCAAATGCTTGGCTAACATCACAGAAAACTAATCTAATATCTTTACTTTGATCTAAGTTTTTAATTATGGTATCATATATATAGATAATAGTTGATTGACTTTTGAGTCCTTAGGTTGGAAGCCAGATTGATGATTACTAATTATGTGATGTTTAGTTACATGGTTAAATACATATTTGAATACAATTTTTTCTAAGATCTTGCTAAAACATTAAGTAACAGCTATTGGTCTATAATAATTAAGGTCTTCCATGGAGCCTTTACCTTTATACAGTGCATTAACATTCTACCTTGTGAAATGTTTTTTTGGAAAAGAATTTTTAGAGGTAATATTAGCGAGGGTAAGAGATTTTTTTTATTAATTTAGGTGCAATATTATCAGGTCCTGGGGGTTTATTAACATTAATTAATTCTATCTGTCCTGAACATCCTGATCAGTTATTATGATATTATCAAATTCAAGGTGACTAAGGGGAGGTAAGTCTAACTCATGGTTTGAAGTATTGTTATCATGAAAAGAAATTATTTAAGCTTCGGCTTTATCAAGTGGATAAATTAAAATTGTATTACCTACCTTTAGAGGAGGCGAGGATTTACTTTTATTGGAAAGGTTACTTATAGATTTAGCTATACGCCACTATTTACCAGGGGGAATTGATTTATCAGATAAGGAATTTCAATGGTGTTTTGATGAGATCTATACATCGTACATGCTAATTATCTAAACTTATACCAATCGTTCTCTTTGTTACTTTTAACTGCAATTTTATGAAGACGATTTCTTTCTAAGATTGTCAGAAACACGTGCCATCCACAGTTTATCATTAGGTCTTATTATTATAATTTTCTAAGGAATATGAATTTCAACTAGGGTTGAAATTTTATCATCTATACTGTTAAAATCATCGACATTATCATTGTTAGTAATTACTGTTTCCCAATCAACAGATAGTTGATTTGAATTAATTTCATCCCAGTTAGCTTCATCAAATGTGTATAATGTACGTTTAAATGACTTTTCTTTTAATACTTTAAAAGACAAGTTTAAAATTATTGGACAGTGATCACTACAGAGTGGAGAGAGAACGTCAGTATTTTGTACTATACCTATGTTATTTATATAAATCACATCAATTGGTATAGAGGAAGTATTAGTTATCCAATTAGGAGATTGGATTAGATTAACTAATTGATTTTTTTTAAGGTTTTGGCATGATGTGAATTATTAGATAAAAGTAGCATATCCTGATTTATGTCACCCGTAATGATAATGCTGATAGAGTTAGCATCCACACGTTTTCTGTCTATATAAACAGCAAAGTATTTTTTTATTAGATGTGGTAATTTCCAGCACAATATTTCCCATATTAATTGGTTCTAAATCAGATCTTCTAACAGCATGGATATTATTTTTAGTATAAATAATAATTCCTCCTCCAGGTTTAACTCTACGATCTTCTCTCAATAATTGTGAGTGAGATTTAAGTAGTATAACATCATCATCTATAGCATTGTTCAAGTGAGTTTCAGTGATGCAAAGGATATCAATATCAGCGAATTCAGAATCGAGTAAATCTAATTTATTAGGAATAAATCTGACATTTAAATGTAGTATTGAAATATTATTAGTTGTAAATTCATTTGTGATATCACTGTCTGTAGTCATATACTGCAAAATAAGTAGAGAAATCTTGAATTAAATAATAATAACTTTATTTTAGAATTGTCGCTTGTGATGGATTGCCGCTAACTATGTACCCTATGTCGTAATTGCACTTGATAAACAGTATTTACTAACGAGTGAAGTTTGAACAATACATGTATACTATTTCATACAAACAGCTGGAACGGGTTAATATCTTGGGCTTGTACATGCATCATACATGTCTGTCAAAAAGTATATATCAGAAAAACTGCAAGAAAAAACATCGATATTAACATGTAATAGTGTTCTAACGGCTCGCTTAAAAATATAATCTTTGATTCGTTGAAAAAGCTGGTACCAATTAGGCACTCAAGTAAGATAATAGTCAACAAAATCTTAATATTGTTGCCAATTTGAGACGCTTCATAAACAGTTTTATCAGTATAGGGCATAAGGATAAGCCTACATTACAAAGTTATAATTAATTTTTAGATGAAAATAGAAAAACACACGTAAGCAAAGTACCATCCTCGATATCAAGGGATTGGATGACAAAGTACGAAATGTTGAATGTACTGGAAAACCCCGAATTTATATGTCGGCGTGACTTGTGCCTCTTTACCTGTTGAATACTGTGATATATTATCATGGCAAATTATCGATAAGTATAAGACGCAGTCTTCAATACATCAACTCAGGAGTTCTATACAAGTAATGCTTTCCATATCTTCAGAGAGGAGTTATAACAAAGTTATAATATCTGTTTACTTTCATGTGTTTCATTAATATTGCCCAGATTGTAAAACGTTTGTGTAAGTCGTTGAACCACATCACAAAACAGTAAAATACAGATGGAGCACGAGACTTTTCTGAACTTTTAAAAGATTATCGGAATAAAGAATTTTGTCAATTGGACACCTATACAGAAATAATTTTTCCATTTTATCTAACATTAGTTCAAAATTGTGATTCGTTATACGCCTAACGTTTAACTATAAAATACTATTATATCAATCTATGGTCTCGTTGAAATAGCGAATGTTCTATTTTTGCCAGATTTCAACACAGGTGTTTTTTTTAGATAATTCCTACTTTATAGTATTTCACTAATTTCGAGACTGTGTCAATGGGTTTGCAATAACCGCTGTGAACGTATCGACTATTTGTAGGTCGCGTACTCAGCGTTACAAATATTCATATAAAGACCAAATATAACACCATTTAAAATAAAATAAATAAAATTTAAATAAAAACTTGAATCTTTTCCCTCTGCCGTAGAGAGTCGATTAAACTGCCGTACATAGTTGGTTCCCCCCAGCGCTAAACCCTTTCCCCCTCTATCTTTGTTGGACAACTTAAGGTAGAAGCTGTCTTGTTTGCGAGCTGTTACTATATTTATGCGGACTGTCAGTGACCCACATATTTTCTTTACCATGTATATACTGTGATAATGCCTTTTGTACTGACAGGTTTACAGATTTACGGTGCAGGTTACTACCTGACCCTGGTGTGGTGCTTCATGACATGGAAATGGGGATTCATCCTGCTGTTATCTGCAAGGCGATATCGAAACATGCTTTACGAAGTTTATACCATTTTACCTAAATCTGAGAAAAGTTAGCACATATTCGGTATTTTTGAATAAATTTGGTATATTTTCATATTTGTTTCGAAGCATTACAACATTTTACTGATGTGAGAAAACAGGTGTTATTTTCCCCTTGTTATTGTAAAGTAGCATTGTACTATTAATAGGTATTAAAATCAGTGTTTAAGGTGATACACTCAAACGTATTAATGTAATTGCCATATTCTGTCACGTTACAAAATGAGGTATGCATTTATTTTACAGTGCTTAAGGAAGATATTTCAAACAATAGTGGCCCTATAGTGACATCATTCTATTATGTACTAGCTCTTTCATTAATTTCCATTCAGGGCTTATATTCTGATATTTCCTCTCACTCTTTTGATATTGATATGTTGTTACATTATATAGTTCATTACTAAATCTCGTATAACAATAGCATCTTATCTGTAAACCAATCAAAATGTTTAATAGTGTTTAGAGTAACATTTTATTGCTGCTTTTCTATCGCCAATTCATGACCATTTATTTGCGAATATCTGACATACATATTTTTCTGCCAAAACATTTCTTGGTAATCGAACGAAATAGTATAATGGCGTTGTTGAACAAATACGTGTATTTGAGATTTAAGTCTGAGTCATGTCGAAGAAATTGTCATGAATTAATTATAAGTTTTAAGTGTTGAAGTTTTGTATGAAACGCAGACCCTTTAACAGATCTATTGTGTGTACCATTTTACATATAGAGGTTGTGTGATTAAGTTAACTTCCATATTGGTGTGTTGTGAGAATTGGGATTTTAAATGCAGGGATTTTTCATTGAACATAGATGTTATTTACAGCTGTAAATACTTGTAAATAAATGTAAATCATTCCTATATCTGTTTTCCTACACTGTGCTTGAGAGTTATTCCCCTTTCTATAATAATACCAATACGATGATTTAATTACACGTTAAAGCTGTTTTGGTAAGATAGAATTGTCTTGAAGAGGTAAACTGTATACCATTATTATCTGTTTCCCTTGTCCCTTTGGGGTTTTGTTATCAGTAGTAATGTTGGCTCCGAAACGAACATTTATGATATAAGGATTATAATTAATCCATTCTAATTGGACTCTTTTTAATTCGTGCTTGTATTTACAATAAAAGCCAGCATCAGATTTCATTTTCTCAAGCATGGTATGCATTTTATACATGAATATTCACGTTGCAATTTTCGTTCAAATATTATTTGGATGGTGTTATGTTTTGATCTTGCATTTTTTGTGTGTGACATGGATGACAGGCAAAATATGATGACCGATTAATATAAGTATAATGATAGTATGCTCTTATTCAATTTTTTCAACACAATATGACTATTTCGCGGACGTTCAATTTTTTATTTTTTGATATTCCAAACTTTGAGAATATTCAAAATATAAACCCCATGAATTCATTGCAATTTGATGAAATGCCAAAGAATTCAATGTATTTCCGCTAAATTTTAATCCAGCAAGTTTGTTTCTGGCACAAAACCTAGATAGTTTTAACCAGCGGAATAAAAGCGTTATAAATTGATAGTCATGCACATGTCTGCTATACAAATCTTTATATTATTATAGTTATTTTGCCAAGGTTTTTATGCATTGATCATGATAAATAAACTACTTTCTTTTGTAAGAACAAAAACAAAAAAACGGGCTTCCGATTTTAAAACATTTGTTATAAGGAAGCACGTATCGAAACTTTGACTTATTCAACGGGTTTAGACACCAACTTTTAATCCTATTCCGTGCTTATACAAATACATGTTGTAATATGATGAAAGATGTGTATGATGATGAATTGCTAGTTATCATTTAGCTTAATTTGTATATCTAATCTTGAATTATTTCATCGAAGTGTTCACGACGACTTATGTTTTTATTGTGGGCTGTTTCTGACTGTAATCCAGCTAATTCCAACATGTTCGTTGTTTTGTTCATGTTAAAACAATATCACCATTGCAGACCTTGTTATTGCAATTATAAATGGTGCTTGTTCAGCAGCTAGATCTAGTCAGATTCTTCAGTCGTGCATTTATGAAACTTGTAAAAGGTATGAACAAACAACCTGTTATACCACATTAAATGGACATTTTATAAGAAAACGATGTTTTTTTATATAAGCCTAATCTAAGGAACCTATATATTCTGTGATACTGTTCATTAGCGTTTATTTAATATGGTGATTTAAACATATATTTCTTACATGATAACTTAACGTAAATATTTTAGGGAAAATGTAACGCAAACGCACTGGAAAATGTTCTTTTACGAGATACAATGTATACGCCACGTGTATGCTGTCTAAATTAGATATGGAAGCGTTTGTTAAGATACGTGTTACTGTACGTACATGATTTATGTTTGTCTTGTATAAATCTGTAAATGTGCATTACCTTTCTCACAAGAACTAATTATAATAGGGTTCATGCAAACTTAAGCTTCATAATGTGTATTTCCATGTTCTGTGAAATAAGATTTTTTCGTGGCGCCCGAATTTCGTGGTTTCACGACAAAGCACCAATTTCGTGGGTACATGATAGAAAGCTTGTAATTATTTCGTGGACCTATGAATTCGTGGAGGAAGATAACCCAACTTTTTATATTTTGTCACGAATTTTGTCATACACATTCCAATTTTTCTATAACGATGTTAAGTATATGACCAGTGCCTGATATAGTCGAAGTAAACTCTCTTATTTCCGTAATATAGTTGTTATTATTGGTTTTACCAATGTTCTTGTTAGAACCATGTTGTTACATTTATAACATATAAATCATATTTATTGTTCTGCGCAAACACATTATTGAGTTGTTGTGACTTTTCTTCTTTAGCGTGATTATCAAATAAAAAAGCAGCAACTAAAATCAACTGTGTCTGAGCTGTGTTTGTAGTTGTACATTATACTTCTATATGGAATACATCTAACCAGGGTGGTTTGTATATCACACTGGGAAATATATTCTGAAAAGAGAGAATGAAGTAAACTAGAGATTGATAAATGTATACAAAAAAAACCCCGAAAATTCTCCTAGTAAATTCTAATTCTTCCACGTTTGCGATGTAACGACAATTTTCATTGGTTCGTAACCATGGGAGATTGGATACTAGATCATGCGCATGCGTATATAATTTCCCAACACACAAACGCTCTTCCAAAAACCCTTGCAATTGTACCGGTAAACAAGCGAGTCGTGGGACTGGTTTCATTTCTCGAATAAGGGTACCCGCATTAAATAGTGTATGTATTTGAAAATTTGATAAATAAAACCAAATCTATCTAACCTCCTGATCTACTTAAAACCTGCCAAGCTCTAGATCAGAATGTTCCGCTGAACTTAGCGCGAAGGTACCTTGAAAAAGTGTTTGTAAATCTGTCAAATGCTGGTTGTATGTGTTGACGAGCGATGTTGTGGATTGGTATGTTTGGTTGATTGAAATAAATACCTAGCGTAAAGCACGACGTCAGTGTTCATTTGACGGAATGGCGGACGAAGGGGTGATTGGAGTAATCCACCATTTGATGCCAGTGGGCGAATAAAAGTGAATTAGAAACCTGACCTTGCCAACACTTGACATGAATGACACAGTTACAATATCTGAAATGATTGTCTGGCCCTAATGACTGGTTTATCTGTTTGTAACCCTAAATGTATTGACCAAATGATTCAGTTGTTCTTGATGTTGGCAGCAGGTTTCACTCTAATATATATAACTGTTATTTATGTTATCAAAAGAGTAACTATATATGTATGTACTGACTGGATATGTCAATAACTGTGTTTGTCAGAGTTTTATCAAGCCAGCTAAATACCATAAACCGAGCTCAGATAAACAAGCATTATAATATTATTAATGTTCTATCCACTTTTGTCATTATATCCATATTCTCATGACCGACTTGCTTCATGTAGTGCCTACTTTCAAAATTTCAAACACAAAGCTTCAGATATCTATGATATATGATGTACCTAGAATGTAGCAAGTGAACCCTTATCGAAATTCAGTAAGGTTCTATGCCAAACCTTTTCATCCTTTTTGTTAATTATACAGTGTTCTTTAAACAATCTAGAATATGATCACCGGATAGTTTGGAGCGCGCTTAATAAGGATTAAGATAGACTGATCATCAGATTAAGTGAGCTGTGAACTTCCTATCCTCCACCTGAAGTAAAATAGTGTATAATACCTACGCACATTGAGCGCTATGCTATATGTAGTTTACTTACACTTCCTGTGCCATAGATCATCATACACTAGGACCAAGGTCTTATCTACTGTTTACATAATCATACAGAGTAACTTAACGAATATTTACTTTACCTACATGTTTACATGAACATACCAATATATATGTATTATTATAAACTGATGAAAAGGGTTTGTAGCCGAACTCACTTGACATTTTATCAGCAAAACTGTCTGAAGATCTCCTAAGGTTTATTTAAGGTCTCCATCTTATGATCAGGAGTATTATAGAGTTTTTTTTATACGGCTCATCAGTTATTCTTAGCTTACATTTAGTGTCAGCTAGTGTAGGCCTAATTAAAACAAACCTCTTTGCCTTCGATTTTCGTCAGTGACAGGGACACATAATGGACCAATCTTTAGGCCAATACCAGTATACACATGTCCTTGTGCAATAATAATTAATGCCGGTAAGGATTTAGTGGTAATTACTGTCTGGTTTATCAGCTATATTGTCGACAAACGGGGAAGAAGAAGTCAATTTTTAGAACTTTTTGTGAAAATATCGTTCTCCCATTTAATTACTTTTAAGCAGTTCTATTTCGTATAAAGAAATAGGGTTCATGTTACATCGCAAAATAAAAAACAAATCGAAAAGTTCAAGTGAACATTGCTTTAGTATGAACATATACTATAATCTCTACATTGAAAAGTAAACATCACCGATTGAACATGTTTTAGAATAAGAATACTCTATAGTTAAACAAATCCGAATGAATTATAATAAGAGTAAGTGAAGGTTTTTCCATGGATGTTCCGAGTTCTATTCACAAGCGAAATCGTTGGTGTTTCATATTTGCCAGACTAATATGATGACGTTTTAGTATCATTATTGCATGGTAATTCAGTCGTCATAATAATGTTCTTATAGCAATTCGGCCGCCTATAAAGCTTGTAAAGTGGGACCCATGTGCTTAACAGTCCTCAGGAATAGTAAGGTTGGAAGTATTCTGTATTGGTTGTTACAATGTATTTGCACATAAAGTGCATGTTTTGTATTTTGTTGTTTACTTATGAAATTAACGATGGGCTGTGAAACAATGCAAAAACCAAAGCAAAACAATGATATGCATGATAGAAACGCTGTTTTAGCTAAAACAATATACACAAGAAAACAAATTTATCTGCCAAAAACATTTCTTGATATATCTCGAACGAAATAGTATACTGGTGTAGGTGAACAAATACGTGTATTTGAAATTTCAAGTCTGAGTCATGTCGAAGAAAGTGTCTTGAATTAAGATACTAAATAAACTTCTTGTGTGATTTTAAATTCAAGGATTCCTCATTGAACATTGATGTAATTTAAATATGGTGTGAAGCTCGGATCAATTAAAACATATATTTGTGTACCATTAACCTCAAACTGTATGTTATTCATGTGCCCGATTCTTCCTACACTACCATTATGTTATTATTGAAAGTTATTCCCCTTTCAACAATATGCTGCCATAGTGCCCAGCTCAAAATATTTAACTACATGTTAAAGCTAGCTTGGTAATGTCGAAACGTATACACCATTTTACTATTTTGAAGAATGTTAGCAGCGTTTTGAGTCGTTTTAAATACATTCGACATAATTACATCTTTTGTAATCGGATTCAAAGCATTATCACATTTTATTGATGTATTATCTCCCCCTTGATAATTGTAAAATAGCATTTTTCTGATAAAATATATTAAAAAACAGTATTAAAAGTTAAACACTCAAATATATTATTGCTATATTGTTGCCCTTAGGATTTCTCATAAATACAGAATACAGTTTTCACAAAATAAAATATTTTGACAGATGCCTGAAAAGTATATCGCTTATAGGTATTAATACATTTTTTTCTGACACATAGACACTGGAATACCAAAGAACATATACCATGTTTGTGTAACACGGATCTACTCACATTTAACGGATACACTTTGACGGACATTACTCTATTGACTTAGGGCTTATGTTCTGATATGTCCTTTTTATCTTTTGACATTGATATGGTGTTACATTATGGTGTACAGCACTAAGTTAAAATTGTCTCGTATAAAAACAGCATCCTATCTGTAAACAAACCTTTGTAAATGCATTTAGGGTTAAAATTTATTGTTGGCCATATCCTACCAACTCCTTTTATTGAATGAGATTACATTTTCCGTTAATCGCCATTTCACGACCATTTATCTGTCAACATCTGACATATATTTTTCTGTCGGGTACATCTCTTTGATATTTGAATGAAATAATATACTGGCGCAGGGGAGCATATATTTGAGTTATGTCGAAGAAAGTGTCTTGAGTTAAGATAAAATATCAAATTGAGATATCTGACTTTTATTTTTGTAGTGTATTTAGATAGGTTAAGAGGAATATTTCCTGAATAGCGTTTTTAGTGTTTAATTTTGTATGAAACTCAGACCCATTAAAACATGTGTTTTGAGGACCATTTTACATGTACAAGATGGTGTGTTAAAGTTAACTTTCAATTTGTTGTGGCTGTGAAAATTCTTAGGTTATTTAAATGCATGAATTCCTCATTGAACATTAATATAATTTACAGCTGTAAATAAGCTTTTGTTTTATGAAACCCGGATCAATTAAAACATATATTTTATATTGACATTAACAGTAACTGTATTCCATTTCTGTGCCTGATTATTCATACACTGCACCTAGTCCTTTAGAGCTATTCCCCTTTCTATAATGTGCTGCCATAGTGCCCAACTCAAAATTACCAATACGATGGTTAAGCTTGCTTTGTAATGAAATGAGGTCATGTAGATTAGTCACGGCATTAAATGCAGGTTGACGTGTCGAATTTCAAGGTCAATCAATAGATTTGTCAAGAAGAGGTAAACTGTATATAAATGTTTTCTGTATCTCTTATCCCTTTTGTGTTGTTTTTTTATCAGTAGAAATGTTGGTTCCGAAACGGATATTTATGATACAAAGATTATAAACAGGCTATTCTAATTCTAATCTTTTCAGGATATTTTGCTATCTTTGGCAATTTGTACTTCTATTTACAATTAAAGCCAGTATCAGGTTACATTTTCTCTAGCATAGTATGCGTTATATACATAAAATAACAAGTTGGAAGATTAACTTTCAGATGGTAATTATGTGAATAAATTAATATAAGTGTAATGATAGTATACTCGTTTTCATTTTACCTTTGACTGTAGATTTCGGACGTATCAGTTTTTCAATATTCCTAGCATTAAGAATACTCGAAATATACACCCAGCAAGGATATTGCCATTTTGATTGAGTGTTATTCAAGGAATTCAATGTTTTTCCGCAAAGGATAATTCAGCAAGTTTGTTCTTGGAACAAATTCTAGAAGTTTTACCCAGCGGAGATAAAGCGTTATCCATTGATGATCATGTACATGTGTATTCAATTCTTTGTATTATTACAGTTTTTCGACCAAGGTATGTATTGATCGTGATAAATAAACCATTTTCATATGAACAACAAAAAATAAAAATAATAGGTCTCCGATCTTTTAAAACATCTATTTTAAGGAAGTACAAATCAAAACTAATACAAGTGTATGTTGTAATGTGGTAAAAGAATTGTATGATGGTGAAACGCTCGCTATCAATTGCTTAATTGTTAAATCGTGAACTATTTCAAAAAAGATTTTTAAATAATTCACGTTTGTTTTATGATTTTTTTTCTGACGGTTATCAAGGTAATTCACAAATGTACTGTTTTGTTTTCGCTTAAGAAAAATGGCATTTTCAGAGTTTGTTATGGCGATGGTAAATGGTGCCTGTTCAGTAGCTAGAACAATCGTACATTCACGTAACTTGTAAAAGGTGTAATCAGGGAGCCTCTTACACTACAAAAATATTTTATAAGAATACGATTTTTTACATAAGCTTTTATACTGAAGATTCTTTTAAAACTGTGAAGCTGCTTATAAGCGTTATTTTATATGATGATATAAACAGTATTTAATTACATGATAACTTTTGGAACCTTTTTTGTACCTTTTTTGGAACCTTTTTTGTACGATATACAATGCATACGCTAAATGTATGCTATCTATATCAGATCTGGCAGTTTCATTTGGATACGAGTTACTGTATGTGGAATTATTTGTGTATGTCTTGTATAATTCTGTTAGTATTACTTTGCTCAAAATAACTTTTAATAAAAGTTTTCATGCAAACTTGTGTTATATAATGGGTCATTCCATGAAATCAGTGAAATCAGATATATTCGTGGGGCCCGAATTCTCGTGTTTTCCCATCAAAACACCATTTCGTGGGAAAACGAATTCGTGGATTACGAGTATCGACTGTTACGGAGATTTGCTTTATATCAAACGTGAATTACTTCGTGGACCTATGAATTCGTGGAGGAATATAACCCACAAAATAAACAAAATAAACATACCCCCCCCCCCAAAAAAAACAACAACATGGCACTGGGCTTTAACATAGTCTTTAACATGCGCTTTACATGTAGTTAGTATATGTCCTTAAAATGTGTTTAATCTAGTGATGGTTGTTTTCAATCCAAGACAAGCATGTTGGTTTTTAATGAAATTTACCATGTGATGTCAACTGTCTTGTAATGCGGCTATAGCTTGTCAATAATTGATAAACTGAGAACTGTTGGTTGCAATAAGTGTAAAATTATTCACAGGCTAAATCTATCTATTTGCAATATACCTATATCAGAACGAAACGTTTTTATAATAATGTTTTAATGTATCTTTGAATTAAAAATGTATCAGAAAAAAATGATTTTAAGATATTTTTGTTTTTAATGTATCTAATATTTATAGAAAACATCTTATATTTACTTTCACGTAAAACGTTATATTTTACCAATGAACACTATAACAGTTTTGATTTCGTCAACCTAACCGTCTATTGTTTCCCGTCTATATCTATATATACGAGCTGGTAGGATTTTCTTACCATTTGCAAAGCGTTAACGATGTTTTGTTGATAAGTTCAGTCCCATATCGGAGAAATACAGCTGCGTGTGCAATGTAGTGCCAAGAACGCTGGTCAGTGCTGTCACATAACTTGATAAAACGTGTCATAATAGCGAGCGGCGCCTATTGACCGTTCGATAGAGTCCCTAATCCTTATTCTACGTTATGCGTAGACACTTAATCGAGTTTTACTAACACTTCCAGCTAAAACAAGTACGAACGACGTACAAACGCCTAACTCCAACTTAACATGGGAGCTATACTATAACCGCGCACTTATATTTGACACAAAAGTACCTTTAACAATTCGCATTTCACATTGTCATACTGTTTTGTTATTTCGGTTTTTGCTTTGATTCAGATATAAACGATCTGGAATATTTCAACACATAATACGGGTCTTAATCATATTGGATTGCAAAAGAAAGTACCTTTACTGTTCCCATTAGTTGTGGGCTTTGTCGTATATGCATCATTCAAAGTACACTGTTTGCCGTCATATATATAGGGTATTTAATTTAATTATAGATAAGTTTTAATGGTTTTCTGGCGTGTCAATAGGTTCTCTCTGTATATAAAGGATAGTCGATATTTTTCCGGTATTCACTGATTATCCAGGGTGTATCGATGATATTCAACTATTGCCCAAGTATAACCAATGGTTGCCGTTGCATAAAGAGGATATGCAGCATTTTCCTGTTATGTTGTTACAATATTATCGTTTAAGTAAATTAGTATTATTGTAAATAAAATTTATAAGTTACATATCAATACATGTTAAGATATAAGTTTTAATATATCTACTGCAGGTATCACTTGGGGGTGGGGGGTGGGGGGAGGGGGGTATGTCTTCAAATTGTGCAGGGTTTTAGGGCCATGGGTGATACATAATAATAATACCAAGGTAATTAAGATATGTATATTAATTTTCGGTATCCCCAACTTTGAACGATGTACTAGCAGTGTTTATTCCTTCGACTTCTAATGATAGCACTTCGGGAATGCTGCATCAGTGCTAACGACATCCATAGAAATCTAGAGCTACTGTTCCACGTATCTAGCTCGATTTGAGGAAAAATGTCATTCCCTAGAGTTTTAGTGACCGGTCGTCTAGTTACTTGTCATTGACTTAGCTAGATGGAATTTCCATTATAGCACTGTGCCAGTAGATCCTTTGTCCCGATATGCTAGTCCTGACCTCTTGTCAAACGACTTTGGTATCAGTTGAATGCTATTGTTGATCCAATGTTATCATGTACTTTAAAACACTTAATGTTCTCGAACACATATTCGCGATTATCATATAAGCGAGAATTTGTGGAAGAACAAGTCATTATGAACAGTCGAATATTACTGGAATTTCATATTTACGCTCCCAGAGAAATTAATTACCTTTCGAAAGATTTCACAATGTTTTACAATGTTGGGAATTCTTAATATGAGTTAAAAGTATTCAAGCTCGAGATTGCGTAAGGATTTCTTTGCAATGATAAAGTTTGCATACTCAATGCGAAGAACACATTGCTAAGAGGAATGGCTTGCGTATGTGAATGATCACTTTTTTCTACATACATTGTATGATCTATATGGTCTATATATTATATTTGCGTGTGGATGATTTCGCGCTAGTTTACTTAACGCTATAACATGAGCTTTTCCATTTCACGATAAGTGCTTCTTTAAAATGCACAAGTTTGATTTAATTAAGACATTTAATCATTTAGATGTTAACGACACCTCTGCAGTTTGACGTCAAAATAATGAAAATGATAATGTAATTTTAACAGAAACACCTTCTGTTTCACTCTGTGTAGCACCTTTTTTGCTATACAAAATTAATATTTTTATCGTAAACCTGTCAAACATGTGTTTTGTCTGCTTCACAAAAGGTATGCATTCTTCCACGTTTGTCAGTATTGCATTTGGATAATACCGTATACAGTCAAACCTGCTTGAGCGGTCACCTGAAATAAGCAGCCACATCCCTTATGTGGTCAGTTTGTGGTCCGCCCGATAGAAACAATTATATAATGAACCTGAAATAAGCAGCCACCTGTCTAATGCGGCCAGCGGTCACAAAACTCTGGCCAGAGACGTTTTCTCCACCGGTATTCAGCGGTCATTTTGTCCAGCAGTTGACATCAAGAAGATCACAATATATTAACAAGAACACATTTCAATATAGAAAAGCTAATTCCAATGTGTAATTGAATACCATAGGTAAGATTTGACACGTTGAATTGACACAGCGATTTTCAGCCTGCAAATTGGGGCAGGTCCTACCGACCCATCAACAATGGGTTACAAACAAAACAATTAATCCCACCTTGTGTACTCAACCAGCTTGTGATTTGCAGAACAAGTATGATCTTTTGTGGTATATGTACATACTGTATCCAAAGTTACTCAGGCCTAATATGTTATGCGATCAAAATACAGATCTGCTTCCAGTCTGCCAGTCACTATTTCTATACCAATGAAGCACACATCTCAGATTTTTTTCCCATTACTATGTCGTACTTTATTTCTATAATACATTTATTTGGTTTGTAATATCTGTGCGAGATCAGGACATTAGTGTTAACCTGTCCATACGGCGCATTGGCGCTGTGAATAAACCGTTACGCTAAGTTGAAAAGTTTCTTGCAAAGTTCTAGATTTATTGAGTGAATTATTTGTAAGTGATCAATTAACTAAATACTGATATATCATTTCATTAGAAAATTATTTGAACCACATAGATCATAATACATCACAATGCAGATTTCATTAAAAGCGTACCTACATGTAGATTTCAGTACTGGTGGTTGTTTGCTAGCGCAACACGTATACGTATACGTATGTGGAACACGTGTGTAGCCAAACAAAATCAAATTCATCATTTCAAGAAATTAATCAACATAACGCCTTTGTAATTTATTGATTATGCATTTATATTCAAGTATGAAATCGTACACCTGTTGATGAAGGGAGAAACATTCAAAATAACATAGCAGCGAATATTGCCGTGAAAATGTCATTATAACCAGTAGATGTATGAAAACTTGGTTGTGATTTTTGGGTTAGCCTGGTTTTAGCAGCCACCTGTCTTAAGCGGCCAATTTCCGCCGGTCCTTGGGTGGCCTCTTAATACAGGTTTGACTGTATCAGTAGAGGAATAAAAGATATTTGCTAAATTGTTGAAAAAAACACCCTTTTTTTTTATAAAAACTGAACCAAAGCAGAATGTATTCTTTCATTTTTTTTATGTCATTTGTGTGTCGTAGAATTACATTGCGTTTTAACATTCATTTTGAACATAGATGATTAATATCACAAATGAGTCGTAGGTAGCACAATTAAGATTTCAAAGTATATAAATACCGTTCGCTGTAGACCAAACTCTGTAACAGTGACTAAGGAGACGAACAAAATCAATGATGCTAAAACAGATTAAAGTGTGTGCTTTTTGTAATCTCAGGAGAAGCTACATGTGTGTTATATATCATCAATTAGTTCACAGGAAAACAATTTCCTTAAGAAATACAGGTTCAAATCGTCCCAAAACACCTATCTGAATTACACTTACCACGAAATAAACGAATGTGATACGGGGTTTATAATGGACTGGATGCTGATTTCTAGAATACAGAACATAGTTTCAGGAGAGCTTGCAGGAATTAATATGAATAAATAATAAAGTACATTAGACCATTATTAGGACTAAGGAACAGGATGTCGCCTTCGATCTCTCGTATACATTTCTATGCATTTTAAATAACCAATGTGTACCAACTTCAGAATACATTCTGAAAAGTTGTTAAACATCTCTTTTTTATTCCCAGAATGTTCAGTATGGCGGAAAATGCACTGATCACGTTAGAACAAGTTCACCATTACTTTCAAATCTATTTCTTTACATACAACATTGTCTCTTTGTACCCACTCAGAACAACTTCTGTGAATTGGATAAAATCATCCCTTGTGTATACTGAAAACATTTAACCTGGATGCACCACATAAAGCCAAAATCCGCATAATGATCAATGTTCAATATGTATGATACAATGACATATTCAACCTTGATAGTTTTATCTATTGCCTCGCGATATGTGATAAGCCGACAGAGGCGGGGAGTAGCCGATTGAATTAAGTTTGATAATCAGTAAAAAAAAAAAAAAAAAAATTCTGTGTCGAAGACTCTATCGACTCCGGTAATGTCAGATAGCTAAATATTCTATTGATCACATGAGAAAAACAGTTGTTTCATTTCTTATCAGTCATCCATCGGTGAAGGGTCCAATCTGATCAACCGTTTCTCTATGCTTGCGGCTATGGGATATAGTTCACCAGTTTGGTCTCAACACTCGAGTAAATAACGTTTACCATTGACTACTGAATGAAACGACTGTATATGTGTTGTATCTATAAATGAAAACACTTTCACAGAAAAAATCTAGAATTGATAGCTTGGTGAGAGATTCAAACCGGACACAAGTCCCTTGCCATAAAGGCAGTACGGCAACGAGATATGCTGTCATACATATTTACGAGAAGTTGACCTGTACACATGAATTAACGAGGTAAAAGGACAGTATTAGGAACCCTGGAGCAGAAGTTCTTCTAAATAACGTTTGTAGGAACGGGAATAGTAAAACAGAGAGAAGCCCCACTTCCAGGTCATAAAACACCACACTAGTGTAAGGTAGAAACCGTCATCATAAATTTGTAGACCTGCAAACAAATAAAAACATGATGTAAGATAAGTGGATTTGTTTTGAATCAACTTAATAATGCAGAACAAATATTTGTTACCACATAAAAAGTAGGAGTTGGTAAAAATGTAGATCAAAGTTATTTATTTGAACATATTTGCTAGCCCCTCATTGAAACAAATTACAGACTAAATATAATTCTAGACCTCATGGATGGTAACAAAAAATTGAAGATTTCGAGGCGTTTGACAACTAACGCTTTTCCATTAAGAAGGAGTAGTAAGAAGAATTCCACACATTTTAACCCTGTTTTCGTTGAAATGGGTCAAGGTTATTTATTCACACAACATTGCTATTCATTAACAACAAGTTGTATTATTCTTAGGATGGATTTGATTAAACAATTTTACATATTTAACTACAGTGATTCTAAATGTGGATCGAGGTCACTGTTTTATAACTAGGTACTTTCATGATTATTTACTATTTTTATTTAGTATATGTGATAGTGTTATATTTGTGAATATATTGTTTGTTACATATTATAAATACGTTGATTTATGATTATGGATGCCGTATCCTCAAGTTTTATATATTATTTGTGATGTTGTTTTATTTGTACATTTGCTTTATGATCAGGTATTTATACATATATTTGCTATATGTTACATGAATTTTTGACTTATGATTGGACAGTGTAGATCAAAACAGGCCATCTCATACCACAAAAAATGCATAAGATAAATTGACTCAAATAGCCAATACGTATATGCGTGTTTCTAACGTCATAGAATGACAAGTTTATTGAGTAAACATCCGTATAGCAAATAGTCACATTGACTCACATGACTCACATTGACTCACATGACTCACATTGACTCACATGACTCACATTGACTCACATGACTCACATTGACTCACATGACTCACATTGACTCACATGACTCACATTGACTCACATGACTCACATTGACTCACATGACTCACATTGACTCACATGACTCACATTGACTCACATGACTCACATTGACTCACATGACTCACATTGACTCACATGACTCACATTGACTCACATGACTCACATTGACTCACACATGACTCACATTGACTCACATGACTCACATTGACTCACTTGAGATGTTCCAGCTCTTACAGTTCATACATGTACATATTGATAGTGATTGCCGCGTGTTTGTAACACCTGTTTAATTTATTACCTTGGTTATCGACGATGGCGAGAGTGAGATACACAGCGAATCCACAAACTCCCAATAATTGGGAGAAACACCCCATCAACATCCATGTTTTGAGCCTATTATTGTTCTTGTCAAAGGCTCCTCTGGCGTTGTTAACATGCACTAGTAACGTTGCCGCTGCAACAATACCTTCAAAATAAAATGTTTAGCGTCAAGTTAGACTGATTTCAGCCCTGCTATCTCAGTGTCTACGAGGAAGATTCATTCACGGCGTCTAAGAATGTTGCTGGCTATTAATACTTTCAAGGATTTGCAATTATGGCAATATGGCGAGATATGTGGTACATAAAACACTTGCTATAATAAGCTTACTCTTACTCAGTTTTTCACTTTTCAAACACGTAATGGTAATAAGAGAGATATTGTAGAGAACCTAGTTTCATTTGTAGCAGATGTTTCGATTTGAGTGTGGATCGCGGTACAAAACTATAATGTTATTTCTAAGTTTGGATATTTGTGACAAGTATTTCATGAATATTACTAAGAACGTATGCATAATATGAAAAGGCAAAGCCTTAAAAGAGAGTAGCTTTTGTTGATCTCTGATATTTACTGATTAAGAATACGACTTTCAGAATGAGATAAGATGAACTTTATTTAAAGTCGGCTAGTCGAGGAATAACATTAAAACACAATCTTTAATGAGATTAAGACCGACATAGCAATATGGAGACCGGGGCAAGTTCGGTCCCTTTTTATATTATTAAAGTCCGTTCTAGGAAGTATGGCAGCACATCCGTTTTTGAACATTATTTAACTATCCTGTCGGAAGATCGGATGACCGAACGAGCCCCGCCATGGGGTACATTGCAAGTTCGGACAGGCATTCGAGTAAGTTCGGCCCTCATTGGAATCATCTTAATTATGACGGCATAAAGCATGCAACGTCAGATTTTACCGCAAATTTTACGAGTTTTTATGTGTTAACTACATGGGCCGACCTTGTATTATTAGTCGAACCTGTTCGGGCCCAAATTGATATTTCAATAAATTCTTATCGTACAGTAATATGGTAGTGAGTGATTGGCTTGGCTTTTATGTATTATCATTTGAAGCTGTCAGTATCTTACACGTTTGACTGTAAAATAGTAGCAATCCCGTTTCAAAAAGTTCGCATAACTAGAAGCGAGATCATGAATTTCTTTCTACCCCCTCCAAAGTAATTTTCTCCTGTTAAGTCATTTTACATTAGAGTTTTCCTCGCCATTTTTTCGTAAATATTAGCTCAAAAACAAACAAAATCAGGGATGGCCGAACTTGCCCTGGTCTCCCGTATGTAGATTTTTTTTATATCATTGATGATTGGTAAAAATGTTTTCACAATATAATTTTTGCATCAATGACGCCATTTTCTTCCAGTCAAAGCTAAAGTAGATATTTGTTCTTGTGCCCGACGTAACGTATATGATGGGTCGGGTGGCGCAGTGGATAGCGCGCTCGTCTTCACCAAGATGGCCGGATTCAATCCAGGTCACCTGCCCGACCACGCGGATTTTACCGGATACTCCAGCTTCCTCTCATATTAAGAATTAAACTCTCTGTGTACTTCCGTCAGGGAACATAAAGAATGATTTAGATAAGTCGGGGGAAAAACTGTTTGGTATTTGCTATAGAAAAAAGTGCATATTTCATATTTGACGATTAGTCTAAGTAAATGTATAGAGATGTTAGTTAACAATTGAAATTAAAAAAAGAAAACATTGTAATACTTTGATGTAACTGAAATTATCTTGATATGGATATGTAGTCTCAATTACTGTTCCATCCTGAGACACCGGATTGAATTTCAAATTTTGTAACTGTCACCGAGGTTAAACAGGGAAATGATGACAAATGAAATTACAGTTTCTGTCTGTAACTAGTTATAAATCGGCAAGCGTTGTGAAAAAGTAATACGTTGCTGAAAAAGGGCTTTTCACTTGGGTTGGTTGTCTGGAAAATTATTGTTAATTTCGTCATAAATGCATTTTCCATTGCTTTTTTATGAGTGGTGATGCATAAATAATGTGAAGTCTATAACCAGACTTTCAAAAATGTTAAATTTTCCGTTCATATTCTCAACAAATGGAAATCAAAAGCTGATGAACTTTTAGATGATGAAAACATAAATGTACACGTTGACCTATTGCTGTAATGTTTTAATGCTTTTTTTGTGCCAGTGACAAAAACTGAAATAAAAAAAATCTTGAAGCACCGACAATGATGCAACGGACATCAGAATTTTTCGGTTGTTTTTCATCCTTCCGGAAATAACCGATGAAGACAGATGGATTGTGGTGTGTTTGTGACGTCATAGTGTGATAATCTCCGAACGAAGTTTCATGCTTGTTAGTATCAGATTTTATATGATAGACTTTTTGATTCAGAATGTTTATAAGTTTTTATCTCAATAAACATGTAATAAAACATGAAGATTGTTTTCACTATATGAAGATGTATGGGTTGAAACACGGTTGTCTTTTCTTCAAGGATACACTTCCTGTTTCCCCACTGGATGTCTACTTGCGGACAAACAAAAAATAAAGGCAAGGTGTAGTAAGGGGAAGCAACAGTGTTTACGCACGCATGTGTTACCATTAAAGAGCTTCGCTCGGGAGCCTTCGGCGCTTGAGAGCTACGCTCTTATTACCAAAGACTTTACCATATCATTATTGACGATGATACATTTAAACCTACTTTCCCATACCTTTTATCAAAATAATTTCTGTTAGACGGACATGAATATAGAATAAATCTGATGGAGAAAATCATAGTTTTGTGCTTTTGAATTCAGCGATCCCTTGCAGTAATCATTTCTGATATGTTAATGTCCAATTTCCCTACGGATACTTCATAGACCACATGCTTATAAGTATTAGGTAATCTCGTAATCAGAGAAAATTGATTCTATCTCGATTCTTAGCATGGTAATCTGACAACCATAATAGAAAACCGCCTATTGATCGCGTCAAATCTTCAACAGACAATTGTAATGCGATCTATCTGTCTTTATTTATATTTCCATCAAGTTAGAGCGGAGAGATGCATGAAACATTCATCATATCTGCATCAGAGAATCCAAGTTTTTCTCTGTCATCATCACAAAAATGATGATGGTCTTCCTGACTTTATTAAACAAGACCAAATGGCTGAATAAGTCTTTCTCTGTCATCATTATACTGAGGGTGACCTTCTTTATGACTTCATCAGACAAGATCGAAGGTCTGAATAAGTCTCTCTCTCTGTCATCATCACACAAATGGTGACTGTCTTTATGACTTCATCAGACGAGACCAACTGACTAAATAAGTCTTCCTCAGCCATAATTACATAGGGGTTGATTGTCGTTATAACTTCATCAGACACGAAGTAAATGAAGAAATGCTGCTAGAAATATTTGATAATACAGGTATAAAATGTTCTAACCCATAGATTTGTTTGTTTGCTTAGGGCTTAACGTCCTAAACAAATATATGTTTTTGCTTTGTAGGAAAAAAGAATGAAGGATGTACGTGTCTTTTCCTATTAATTGTGACTTTATCGATGTCTTCTCACTCTTTGATATCGGATCTGAGTTTAGAGCTCTACAATATCTTCGGACAAGGTGTATATTGTTCGTTTCAACTTTAACTTTTCAACCAAGCAAAAAGTTAAAATTGCATCTGATCCTTGGGTAGCAGCGTACGGTGGCCATGGGTGATATTTTTGTACAATGAATAACCCATGTAATATTACATGTAGTTTAAAAACAAATCAGCACTAAAATTTGCATATACATGATGATGTGGACTATGTGGGCTTCGCATTTAAAAATAAAAATCGAATTTGGTTTGAGACTGCATTTTTTGCCATTTACAAATCTGTGTCTACACAACAAAAGCGAGCTTTTGATGTAGTCTTTTTTGTACTCAGCACATGTGCATGTGTAAGTATTGGAAAAAATCCAGTTGAACGACCTATGCTAAAACATAAGTATTTCTGTTACCGAGTAGGTGATATTCAATTTAAAAAAGTTTTTGAGAAAAAAATACTACTTGCGTGGGTCAAATTTTGGGTTAAAAATCATGTTTGTTTTGCATTGTTTGACGTATTTTGATTTGGTAACCATGGTTTTCATAAGTCCCAAATCTGGGAAAATCACTTTTTCAAAAAAGAAATCATTCTTCTAAACAAAATGTATTCAAAATGTAATTTATAAATATATACATATATATGTAGGGGTATTGTGCAGGATTAATCCGCTATCCATGTTTACCTGAGACATGCCCTTTAATTTTAGGATCAAGCCATTTCTACTGTACTCTGCTACCTTGAGCTAATACTGAATTGAGTTGATAACGCATGTTAATATGGGTACAGTTTTGTTTGACCTTCACCCCCTCGGACTTCGCAAATAGTACATTGTAATCATGCTCCTATCATGTAGTGCGACGCCGACATTCACAGAGGTTTACCCAGTGTTTTCTCCAATTATTCCTTAGGCTTTATGTTACGTAACACGTTCAGTAATTATCCAAAGTAAAATAGGAAAACTTCCGTTACACTTGGTACCTGTCGTTGAAATATAAATTAATTGTATATCTTGACACTCGTCCAACAGTAAGTCCGCAACATATGCTTATCACATAGACGAGTGGCAGAGTACTCGCTAGTGTCGTGTTACTACTCAGTGACATTGTCTGATTACTGTTACTAAACAGAGCTCTTTTCATCGGAAATCTTGTATAAATGAGGATATTCAAACGCACATTTCTAAGTTTTGAAAAGTTGTGATAATAAGTGATTTTATGCAACTCCTTATCTATTTACACAGTAATTTAGAACAATTTGTTTCTCAAATGCTTAGATCTCAACTATCACCGATGAGCTCTAGATAGACGAAGCAGCTGTTTTGTACAGTGTAATTCATTGATGGCGTTCTGCATCAATACATCACATTATATAAGTTCAAACACATGACCGTGTCTTGAGATCATCTTTTAAAGGATCTCACAAAATAATGTGTCTTAAATAATTTATTTGTAGACATTACTGGTACCTTATTCACTGACATAACAGTTGATGAATCAATATTCCCACGATGTGAAACAAATAATAAAACTCTAACAGTTTGTTAACTACAACTGATAACATAGAGAGAGCGGCCATACGTACCTGACAGAAGACCCCAGCCGGCGGCATTCCAGTTATGATACTGTACTCCGAACACAGCAAAAACCGACAACCCGACGAGTACCCCTACTGCAGCAACCAAAATCCTTAGGCGGATCCATAGTTTGGGAACCTCATCCATCATGGGGATGTTTTATATAAATCTATTTGATTAAGTTCAATAGTATTGTGAAATAAATATCACGTGTACCTGAGTGTCTTTACTAGTTAGCCTGTGTCCGATATCATATCAAAGTGACCTAGATTTAATGTTGACACTTACAGCAATGGTACACAGTGAACCTATATATTGTACACTGTAGTAGGTATCTAAAGATGGGTTTATGTTAATCCACCTGTTGTCTTTAGTGATAATGAAATTATTATGTTGGTCCTTGTGTAAGCCAGTTTTTGAAACAGTAGATGATATTTTATAAAACCTTTGAGCATGCATCTATCACATGATGTTTATATCTTCATGATACTGAGTAGACCTATACATGTGATGAACTAACATAACACTAGAGGCTAAATCACATAAACACTAAAGAGTATTTGTTTTCTGAAAGAAATGAACTACATGTCATTATTCGACGATACTGTTTTTGCATTAAATTATATTTGTACATCTCTCATCAAGTTGCCCCCCTTTACAGTAAGGTTACAGATTTTACACTTCATAATTTTCTATTGGAATGAATTGTATATCAGTTTCATAAAATAAGATATCTGGTTTATTTTAATCGTATTCATGTTTTGGCATAATGGCAGTGTCAAATACATGAAAGGGACATCAACACATCAATAAGGGGTAACTGGGTGGTTCATAGTTAACTTGTTGCTAGGATAGTTTTTATTCTTGATGCTAAAGCGATGGAATTTGTATAATGCTATAAAACATTTTATTTCATTAATTGACTAAATGAAAGTTCAGTAGCTGCCTTATCAGGCACTTATAACTACTAGTCCTATGCCACCTGGCTAACATCTGCTTATGTGTGAATGCCTGCGTGTGTGCTGGAGATGTACATGTACTGTGTTATGTTTGTAGTGGGACCATGCTTCCAACGACATCAGCTATAGTGCCACCTCACTTGAATGCTACAGCACAGATACCGCAACATCCACCCCAGACCAATTTATACTCCACCTGGGTTGTTGGAGTTGTGTGGGCAAAGGAAAAACACTTGGCTTTTACCTAACTCTCTAAGGTATAAAACTTTAATGCAATTATCTTTAATAACTACAAAATTGAATAATTTCTATGTCAATATCTGATATTAAACATATGCATTTTTGTACGTATTAGTTTCGTTGCTAACAGTGTTCTTATTGAAGTCTTGCATTTTTTCTCTCAAAATAACGAGTTACCAAGATCTCCATTTTGGAGAAAACTTTATTGTTTGTTTAACTAGAATAAGTGAGGTGGAACTATAAATGATGTCGTTGGAAGCACGGTACCACTACAAACATAACACAGAACATGTACATCTCCAGCACACACTACTGAACAAATTACATGAAGAAGAAATAAAATTTCAGCATATAAAGGACACCATGTTACCAACGCAACAGTGTGAAACTTGCAATTTTGAGTATGAAATACTGGTAAACGATAGAAATCATTATGTTCTCCACCCTCTTCTTTAAACGTTGATGTTCAAACCTTCATGAAATGCTTAATATTACACAAAACAATGCATTCTATTCTGAAAATTTGAAGTGGAAGTCACACTTTCTGGACCATGACTGAATTTTGCCTCATTTACAGTCTATCTAATAATAGACCGGAAAAAATAAGAACATGTTTTGATGACGTCGTACACAAAGTACAAGAAATTATACAATGTACTACTTTTTCACAAAAAGTAGTCATTTTTCAAACTTAAATGATCGTCTGCTACCATGTCCTTTGACAATGCAGTCCGAAATTATGCTTTACTTATCTTAGAACAGACGACATAGAAATATTCCCTACGACTAGCGCTGTTAGGTCGTCATTTGAGTAAAAGTGCCAGAAGAAAGCATCGGCTCAACTTAATTGGTGCGTTATAGCATGCATCCGGGAATTCAAAACGCGGCATTTCGTCGATCAAAATAAAAATCATTGTGCCATTCATACAATATAATCTTGGACAAAATAAAAAAAAAATGTTCTATCGATGCATAGACCAATAACCAAAGTGCGCTCGTTACATAAATTACTTTTGGGTTTATTCAGAGTGCATTTCGGTTTTCACTCCAGATATAAACACACCATTATTTTTATCTTGACCGATTCTTTAGGGACTCATATTATGTTTGTTTTATCATATTTAATTATAGAAAAGTAAGGTTGGCTCAAAATGTCTACTTTTAATCGAAATTCGGGGGAAAAGTGAAACTGTATTCACAGCTTGGAATACTTCAACACATCAGTCTGTTGATAAAAAATGTCACATTTTCCAATCATCTAGCGTAGATGGAATACAATAACGAATCAAAACAAGTTTCACTCGAAATAATCCTTTGTATGGATAAAGCTGTAGGTGGCCGAAATAGAAAGTTGCCAAAACAGCAGTGCCTTCGACAGTGAGAAATGTTAAGACTGCAATAGTGCGTAAAGCAATAGTGCGTGAAGATTATTTTATTGCTCCAATGTATGGTTAGATTTGTTATATCTGTGTACTTTTACTTGGTATTGGTTCCGGCCAGTGGGATGACGCATGCCTTCCATGTTGCCTCTATTGCATAGTTGCTGTTTGATTCACAAGTTACGGAGATTCGGAATCCCTGTGGCGTGACGTTGGTAACGGTAGGTGCCACATGGTTCAGCACAGCTTTTGTCGGGGTATAGAGCAACGAAGCAGAAACGGATATAGATGGCGCTTCGTGGAAATGGTTGCGGAAGACGACCTCATTTGTTCCTGTCGGACAGAGGTTGTGGATGGAGCCGGTCGTACCTAACATAAGAGTTGATTGGGAAGTTAAAATCTTTATAACATGTCAATATGTAATAAGTCGTCAGGAATAAAACAGAATGTTAGTTTAAAAAGGAGAAAACGCTCTGACATACCGTCCTTATATAATGTGCAATTTTGCTACTTTTAACTGTCGATGAAACTCCAGAAAAAACATCATTTAGTGAAAATGTTTGCGATTTTGGAGAAATATCATAGAGATGATGTAATAGTACGAAAAAAATAATACATCATTAATAAGGTGATTTACGGTAAAGACGTAGCTACTTTTAACTATAATACACAATATTACAGTTACACAATATTACAGTACCTAGGTACAGTTATTATTAGTTACTGTATGTCATATGCCGCTGTGATGCAATGTTATACCACCCTAACATTAATTTTCATTTAGCATGTATCACAATACGTCACAAGGTCAGAGTAAGTTCAAAACTGGTGCTGTTTCTTTGTTTTCCTGTTAAAATATTAACAAAAGATACAATATACACCTAGCATGCTTTTTAAGTTTTCAGTGTATGATTAAAATTGTAAACTCGCTTTCATTTTTTCTGGTTTTTATTAAGTTAAGTTCTCATAAAAATGATATATTGTTAACTTTAATGAAAGAGTATCACTGTCTTTTGTCAACCTAATTACCAGGATATTTAAAAGAGGAAAACTAGTTATGAAATTCCTTATTTTCACATTTCTTCATAATCATGTGACCATGCTGACGTTTGAAAGGTTATTGAGGTATGCACTTTTCACTGCGCCACGAATCGTTGCTGCTTTTAATACCTTCCAGGAGCTAATAGTATCCACCAATATTTGCATTAAGTTTTCCTGTATATGTAATATTGGGGTAGTCATAAAGTCTATCCATGACGTTTTCGGTTATTGTTTTTCCCTCTACGTGTCTTTGCGTGTTAACACTGTGCAATATGTATTGCCATTTTACTTTATAACAACGTTATAAGCAAAAGACAAAGTTGCTTGTTTTTGCAACTATTGGAATTAACGTCGCAAAAATAATGAAGCTATTGACCTTATGAAGTGAAACGCATAATAACAAAAAGGTAATAGACGAAACTACTTAGTATATCGTGACACGCATCGAATAATTAAGTTATGACGTTGATTGTTCCACACTAAGTAATAAAATAGAGAATAATATGAATCCACCAATAAATAATGGCAGAGATAGCGCTATGAATGTCTTTCCTCTATATGTGAACTCATAACAATACCAATATACATTGTAGCTTTACATTAACATTGGTGTCTGCTCAGGATATTGTCTTATTGGAATTGTTTGATACTTAACTTGATGGATCTTTGTACATGCATATACTTACACGGAAGTTGCACTGTGTCTGAAATGTAAAAGCAAAATTATTATGCTTAAAACATAAATATATGTGCTTACCAGAATCAGAGAAAAATTAAGGATATCCGAATGCAATGTATAGGTGAGTCAGCTACTCTTGTGAAGTATATGTATGCAAGTATGACAGACAAGAGTTTTCGGGGCTCGGAACAAGTGGTGCAGCAAAATGCGTAGCTTGGGGTCTTTTGCATGGTATGCATATCATTTGAATAGCTATATGTAAGCAACATTTACATGTTTAAGGTATTACCATGTATGGTGGTGTTACAAGATGTTATGACGAGCTCGAGGTTAGTATAAAAATACTGAAGAATATACAGTATAGAGGTTATATTTCGAGGGGGATTTAATTTCGCTATATTCGCGCTTTAACTAATATCGGCGAATTCTAAACATCAGCGAAATGATAACCACTTTCACGGACCTTATCACAACATGTTGAAAATACGTATAACCCAACGTTAATATGCAAGCTGAAATTAACTCAAACCAGGCTGATGAAGATTTCAAATATATACAACCTCACTCACGAATGATGTTAAACTGGTATGATATATCATTGAAATTGTAAATTTAGCCTTGACATATTTCGAGTGAGAGTTAAAACAAATCTTTAGATGTTCGTGTACTTTCATAATAAACGTTTTAGCATAATCTTATTTTTTGAAATCGTACCCCACATTCCCAAAGGCTGTAATATAACCTCATATTAAGACTTTTTAGAATTGATAACAGATTACCTTTGAGCCAATTGACGAGATTATTGATGAACAGGTTTTGCTGACTCAGTGTGTTGGACATAGCCTGAATGGTAGCCGCCTGGGTCTGGACTTTGTCTTCTAAAGAAGAAGCAGCCGTGGTCTGGGATGCTTTCTCAGACGTTAAGTTCTGAATCACTGCAGATTGTTTATTCAAATCTAGTGTCAGTTTGTGTATTTGCGAGTTCATATCACTCAAGATATCATTTTTAGTATTTAAGTTCTGAACCTGTTCATCAAGCTTTTGTTGAAAGGATTGGATCGTAGCGTCACTTTGCGATAATTTATTATCTATCGCAGATGCGTGTGATTTCATATTATCAATGTGAAGCAATGAAGTCCGATATTTCTGATCCAAAGCCGTTATTCGTGATGATATGTCTGACATGTTGCAGCTACAAGTTTGTGACTGGGTATGTGCCGACGTTATATTCCCAAAAATGGTATGAAGGTCAGAGTTCTGCAGCGCATGTTTTAGTTCTTGAGCAGCAGGTAGTGATATGAGTTCCTCCAAGAGTTGATAAGTCCCGGACATCTGTCTTGATACACTTCCAGTAATGGCTGAGAGATTACTGGTCACCAAAGCTTGGTTGTGTACATCAACAGAAATGGTCTCTAGTTTCTGAGAAATATTTTGCAGTTCCCCTGTCGGTAGTCCAATACTTCCAGTGTGTATGCCATTTGAGCAAGGACAAGTGGTTCGATTCATAAGTAGGTCATTAACAGTTGCATCTGTCCTTGACAAGTGCGTGTTTAAATCAGCAATAGTTCCACCAAGCCGCGCCATTTCCTGCTTTTGATCGACATCATTGGAACGTAGGCTATCCAGATCTTTTTGAAGACTGCTATATACTGCAAGGGGAATCGGACTTGTCTGTTGGTTATCAATAAGAAAACGTTTCTTGTCGGTGGTGGCTGAGGACGCCATAAAGCCTGCCAAATACAGGAAACTATAAACGCAAAAATAAAACCAAGTCATCGTGAACATACTACCAAGACTTGGTATAGATATGGCCTTATCTTCTTGTACTACAGGCTGTGTGACCTTTCACGGAAGTGGTCAGGAGATAAGGGAAAGGTATGTGTGTCTTGACAATACATATTTGTCATAGGTTATCAGGTCTAAAGTGGATAATCCAACGCTTGTACGTAAGTAAACAACAATATGGCCATTGCTAACTTATTTGGTAGATATAATATCAATATTTATCTAAACATGCACTCTAGTGATAAATTTTTAACATGATGATATCACAATAACTTTTAATTATGCTACTTTACTATATCAACAATGAACAGCATTTCAGGTGTCTCAGTGTGATTATTATAAAGCTTCAGTTTTTTGTTTTTTTTCCAGCGATACATTTTGACGTTTGACCATTCTTTACCTATATATTGCACTTTACCTATATATTCGGCTATGCATGTCATACCTGAAAATACCCTAATACTTGAAGAATAGATATTGTCTTATGAGACTAAGTACTGAGAGAAGGACGGAATGTAGATGTAACTATCATGTATTGTTCTAGAGGACAATTTGAACAGCTTCTTTTGGAAGCTATTTTGAAACGAAGTACAGTTTTTCCTTTTTCCAGCCAAACAAATATTGCTTTTATGCCAGACGTGAGGCATATAGCTATACACTTTGCAGTTTTACGCTTGTTAAAGAGAACTTAAAATAGATAACAGTTGGATTTTAATGTTGGGTACAGGATCATGGTAAGGTTAAGTTTCATATATGACTAATATCTCAAATATTTCACGGTGGAATATATAGATCATCAAAAGGGCAAATGTTTAGGTATTTTTTAGAAACCACTGAATGGATAATTTAAAACGCACAAGTGTATAATGAGCTTTTATTATTAATGACTTTTTATTCTGAATTTCATTAATAATGAATACGCGAGCAATTTTCTAACATATACTGTAGGGACTATAAAGTTTATTTTGTCTACGTTGTATACATGCACACCTCCCTTATATGATATTACTGTAAATGTTAATTACACAATAAACATCGCAGCACTGTGCTCTTTTACAAGTCTGATATATTAACACCGCCGTGTCCAGTATGTGATGTACTGACAGCGGATAATTGACGCTAAAGCTCAATAAACCTGGAAAACACATCAACGTCCTGGACGGGAAGAAGCATGAAAAGTACAGCACCCACCATTTAACATCAACTGGAGGGTACTAACGAACACGTCAGCTGATATTTAAAGTAGTAAATAAAAAAGTACAGCATACACATTAAACATCAACTGTAGGGTACTAAAATCAGCTGATATTTAAAGTAGTAAAAAAAAGTACAGCATCCACCATTACACATCTACTTCAGGGTACTAACAAACAAACCATCTGTCAGCCATTTCAAGTAGTTATATGAAAAGGACAGCACACAACACCTGAAATCTACTATAAAGTAATAACAACCAACGTATAACACAAACCATCATATATCTACCGTAAGGTAGTAACATACAACGTATGACACAAACCATCTGATATCTATTGTAAGGTAGTGACATACAACGTATAACACACACCATCTGATATCTATTGTAAGGTAGTAACATACAACGTATAGCA